AAGTCTTCTGACCCAGGTTCCTCTGGCAGTGACAGATCACTCCACCTGTGGGCAGCTTTCTCAGTAGATAGCTTACATTTTCCTTTCATGGAAATAGCTGCAGAAATGCCTGACATACTTTTTTTTCTTCTACTTCCATGAAAGATTCAGTCTTAACTGCTATTCCTTCCTGGCTTCTTATGTGCACATAGTAGGGTTGCATCTTTAAGCCACAAATAAAATCTTTAGGAAAGTACTTTAGACGTCTTCAGGGCCACCTTGCTTGATCCTCCCATTTTAGGCAGAAGTGTATGTCCTTGGCTGCTGCAGGGTTCCACAGAGGCCGACTTAGATTCCTGGCTCCTGGTCTGGAATGGGTTGTTCCTTTCATGTTTGTGTGCACTGTATCTCTGTCCTTTGAACTACATTTATTTTTAAAGGTCTCCATGATATTTCACAGAAGACCTCACCCACCTCTACCGTTTATAGATTTACTATTTTATGCAGTTGCTGTGAAAACTTACCTTCTGTGATCTGAGATTGCATATTGGGCTTTTTAAAACTTCATCTGTTTTAAGATTTGTTCCAAAAAGCCTACTTTATTTCTTTTTTTCTTCCTTTTTTGTAGGATGCTTTATTTATTTACATTTCAGATGTCATCCCCTTTCCCCATTTCCCCTCCCTAGAACCTCCATCCCATCCCCCCCTCCGTTTTGATTTTATACCATTTTGATTACATGCAAGTATTAAGGTCAGTTCTAGGTTGAGGAACTAGCAGTAGAATAGATGCAAATAGTTAAGGAACAAGCAAGACAATAAGTACAAATAGCAAAGAACAAGCAAGGCAACAAACAAAATTCTGTCAATACTCCAGTGATTACTGTTTCTTATCAGAATGACCAAAGTATCTGAGCCAACTTCCCTGCCCTAGCCCAAAGTCATTTTCATGTCTGATGCCTACTTCCTTGTTCTAGCCTAATATTTAGATTCCTGCCTGAAGCCCACTTCCTTGTCTGTATCCAATGTCATGTTGCTGCCAAACAGCCCCCAAAGCTCTTTGCCTCTCCTCCCCCTTTTTTATTTCGTCAACAAGACTGAGCCAACTGATAGCTCCTGTGGAGATGGATACATTTTATAACAGTGGTATGATATAGCTTACTCATGTGCATAAGAGCTGGCAGGGTGGCACAGTGGGTAGAGACACTTCTGCCAAGCCTGATGATCTGATGACCTGGCCGATCCTCCAGACCCACAAGGTAGAAGGAGAGAACGTACGTGGCCACACTTAAACTTTAAACTGTCTGTTTAAAATCAAGTTTCACAATTAATTGGGGCTAAATTGCAGGTAAGGAATGGTCCAGATTTAGGTTTGAAATTCTAAAATATAAAATTTGGATTTAAAACTACATGAAGACAAGCAAGGGGAGCGTGGATGCCCCATGTCATTTACCGTCAGAGCCTGGCTAGGGACAATAAAGAAGGAGAGAAATGTCGATTTTATTACCTGGTTTTATGGTCACAGAAAAGGGCTGCCTCAGATGGTCAGTGGAATGAGGGAAAGCTCTTACACCTACCTCTTTGGAGGGTTTTTTCCCCCTCAAGTTGGTCATTTGTGGTGTGAATTATAAAAGTTGTACAGAGGCCCTGGTCCTAGAGATGTTAAGCTGGAACACGTAACGGTTCATGGTGCGAGTGGACTCTTAGCCACTGTGGGAATGTGGTCAGGATCGCTCTCACGAGAAGAACGTGAGTCTTACGTGAGATGCCATTGCCGCGAGAAGTCGGTTATAGACGTGGATCAGTCTTTAAGTGTTGTGCACAGCTAGTCATTGGGTGGAAAAGTGTCAGTGGTGGGGTCAGGAGTGAAGAGGTTAATCTCTAGCACTGCAAAAGAAAAACGGAGAGGGGGAAGAAGGGAGAAAAGGGAGGAATCATCTACGCTGTTATAAACAAGGACATCCAGCCAGCACGAGCTAACAGAGGAAGGACTGGAGGTGTATGGTAGCACTTGCTCCAGCAAGCCTGAGGCTGCTCATTCCCAGAACTGCAGAAGGTGGGGGTGGGGTAGTAGGGTCCATAAAAAACAAAATAGAAACAAACAGGTGGCAAAGGGCTTCCGGCATGAGCTAAAGAGAAGGGAGAACTTGTCAGAGCAGCCCTCCAGAAAGAAGCATCATTATTAAAGATGGCGCCAGCTACTGTCCCTGTCTGCTTCACCAAGTTCTCTTATTGGATCCCAGTCTGGCTGTGTGTGCAGATGGTTGTCTGCACTGAGACAATAACATAGTACAGGGAGAAATGGGAAATGGCTTATTTAGTCTTCACTGAAGCTGTAGAGAAATCTCATCTGTTGACCTTGCCTGTGGCAGTGACACACTGGTGGAGAAGGGGAAGGTCTTTGTCCCACCAGGTCCTCAGGCAGCCTGTTTTCATTCCTAGCATTCAATCCCTTGGAGGAGCCCCTTAGTTCTGGGGCCTCCATTACAGATTTTTTTCTTTGTCTTTTTATTTATCCATTTAAGAGGTGGGAATATTAGATGAGAAATTTTGGTCTTGTTTGGAGCTATGTGACTAACAGCAGCCGGGCAGCATTATTTCATATTTTCCCTTGTGCTAAGGGTATAAAAATAAATCCTAAAGTATTTAGACCTGTCTGTGTTTCAGAGGCACATCCACCCAGCCATAGTTGGTAGAGCAATTTTAGAGCTGTTTTAATGTGTCTTAGCTGTGTTGGGATGGTTTGGAAATTCATACCTTGTGCCAACTAGTATGTTGGTGGTTTTTTTTTTTTTATCTTGATATTTCAGGCTACATTTATCACATGTATTCAGAAATTGTAAGCACAGTGACAGACAAAAGAATTGCGTTTTTCTTTTTACCTTCTGTGATCTCTGGGGCGGTACTTGAGCTCAGGGTTGCCAGGTACTCACTGTTACCATCCTTCTCCTCTGTCAACTGTGTGGTTGGTTCAGACTGCAGGATTGTGTCCAGATCACGGAAGAACTTCATAGTTCTAGAGCTGTCTCCTGACCTGTGGGCATGCTTAACTGTCCTGTATTCATACTTGAGGTTTTTATACTTTGCCCGGCACTGTTTCCAATCTCTGTATACTCCTAGTGATCGTAGCCTTTTAGCAACGTAAATAAAGACTTCTTTATTTCTCAGCGTTCCAGAAAGCTGGTTTCGTACATTTCTTTCTGCCCAGACACTTAGTAAAGCTTTAACCTCCTCCTCGGTCCAGTGTTTTCCAGGGCCACTCTCCATGTTGAAAGTGACCTGGAAGTGATTTGCTATTCCTAGCTCATGTTTTTGTTTCCTAAGAAACCAGAGGACTGGTTGTCAATAAGCTAAGAGCTTGAGAGGGAGGGTGTAGTTTAACTGGTTCAAGCTGCCTGAGGGAGTAACTTGAGCATCTGCCAAAGAAGCAGGCTTGGTGGCTGAGGAAGCCTGGGGCTGCTAATCTTACTTATTTGGGCTTTAGGGAAAAATTAACCTTGGGACAAAGGGAACGAAAAGTACTTTGAGGGGGCAAGGAGTCTATTTCTTTTCTTATATAATTTTTGGATTCATTGAAAGTGTTGGTTTTTAAAAATTACTTGGAAATGGTTGGCAGTAGCTGTGGGGATTTTTTTTTAAGGGTTTATATCTAATATGAATAGCTATGTATTTAAAAAGCATTGCATTTCGGCTGACTTGATAGCTCAGTGGTTAAGAGCACTTGTTCTTGCAAGGGAGGGGACCCAGGTTCTGTTCCCAGCACCCGTGTAGCAGTTAACAAATGTCTTTAACTCTAGCCCTAGGGGATCAGACACCCACATGGTGCATATACATACATGTAAGAAAAACACCCAAACACAGAAAAGAAAAAGGAAAAACATTTGCAAAAGCATTACAGTTTGACTGAGGTTTATAGCTAATAATAACCTGAAGACTTGTCTCATACTGAGGGTGATGGGGATGGCGTTCCCCTCTGATCCCAGCATTAAGGAGGCAGAGGCAGGCAGATCTGAGTTTGAGGCTGAAAGGATTTCACAGCACGAAGCTTGGACAGATCACAGCAGACCAGACGGTTCCATGAGGGGGAGTTTATTAAGAGAAAGGGAGAGTGGGAGGAGAGAGAGAGAGAAGAGTAGAGAGGGTAGAGGCCAGCCATGACCACTTGGAGAAAGGGGGGAGGGGAGACGGCAACCTGCAGGTGCGGGTCGAGGGGCCAAGAGAGAGAGAGGAGGGGCCAAGCAGACCCTTTTATAGTGGGCAGGGCTACCTGCCTGTTGCCACGTAACTGTGGAGGTGGAGTTTAACAGATTACTAACAGAGGCCATCCTGGTTTACATAGCAAGCTCCAGGGCAGCCAGGCTACATAGAGAAACCTGTGACCAAACAAGGAGGGTGGGGATTGATTTGTTGGAGAAAGTTTGGAAATTATAAAAAGTAAAAGACAAAAACTTTAACCAGGTGTGGTGATGAGTCCCTGTTAGCTCAGCACACTTGAGATCAGAGCAAGAGGTGGCCATGAAGCTAGCCTGTGGTATACTGAGACCTTGCCTCAGGAAATCTTACTTGATGTTATGTACAGTTTTGGTGTATGAAACTAAGTATTCTTGCCTTCTATTATATTGATATCTACATACTTCAGCGGTTGAGACTTTATTCAGAAGCAGATTATAGGCATTAGATGTCCAAATTCTGGAGTTGGGTTATTTGTTCTGAACTCACAGTACAACCTATCAGCTGCACATTTAGCATGTTACTTCAGTTTCTTTGCATTTCACGGGATTGATGGGAAAGCCAAATCAGATGATTCACATAAATTCTGATTACTGAAGGACCTGGCATATCAGAATTCGGTGACACTATCCCATTGTTACAGTCCAGAGATAGGAGGCCTGTGGTAGCCTTAACGTGTTGTGAGCCTCAGCTTGTGGGCTCTTTCCGGGAAAGGTATGCTTGATAAATAAAGCTCTGCAGGAAGCTTATCAGCTGGCCTCATTTAACAGATGATACATTTATTTTGTTCACAGTGGTCAGGAGAGTGCCGGTATTGTGACCAGTGATGGGGGTGCCGTGCCTAAATTCAGGGTGCACAAGGTAAGTCATTGAAGACAGGATGCTGGAGATAATGGTTGGCAGCTGGTCATTAATGTCTGGAGTGGAGGCTAGGCGTGGTCAGGATTTTAGATGCAGAAGGGGGGGATCTGAGTTTGAGGCTAGTTTGGTCTGTATAGTAAGACCCTGTTTCTAAGTCATCAAGTAAGTAAATAAGTATGCGTGGGCGTGTAAATAAATTTGCAGTGAGAAGCTGTACTCTTAGATAGGTCTGCTTCCCACTGTGTGTCCTCACATTTGTCAAGTTAGGATGCACTTCTTTCCCAGCGATCTTTTGCTAGGCTGGCTCATTCAAGCCGGGAGGTCATCTGTTTAAATATTTTAAGATGCTTTGATTTTCATTGCCTAGTAATAAAGTCTTATTGCTAACTATCTGTCATAAGATAGAAGTGTTTCGGTATTGTGGCAATCCTAAACTAATAATGTGAGTATCCCCAGTCCATTATAAAAAGTGAGTTCACCTGGGCAGTGGTGGTGTATGCCTTTCCCCCCCAGTACTCAGAAGAGGAGGCAGAGGCAGGCTAATCTCTGAGTTCGAGGTCAGCCAAGGCTACATGGAGAGACCCTGAGTACAGAGACAGTACGTGTCTGATTTGGGTTGCCCAAGCAGAGTCTTGTTACTTTGCAAAGCTAGTTTCTGTTTTTTCCTAAGATATACTTTTACTTTGACTTCTCAAGGGAATGGGACTTGTAAATCATGTTTTCACCGAAGACAATTTGAAGAAATTGTATGTCTCAAATCTTGGAATTGGACATACGAGGTATGCCACCACAGGGAAGTGTGAGCTGGAAAATTGCCAGCCATTCGTTGTCGAGACTCTTCGTGGGAAAATAGCTGTGGCCCATAATGGTGAGCTGGTAAACGCAGCTCGGTTGAGGAAGAAGGTAAGTTGCTTTTTTAACAGCTCCTTTTTGATAGTTAATGAAAGGAAGTTGAAGATCTCAACAAAGGACATCTTCTAGTTATTGCCTCTTGTTTCCTCGGTGCACAAAACCATTGCATCAGAATTGCCTGACATGCTTGCTTTAAATCCATAGTCTTATACTCCCCAAGAGATCTGAAGCGGTGCCACTTCAGTGCTGTGACTTGGAATGTTGTTTTATTGTTATTGTCAGCAGCACAGAAGGCTGCTATAAACATCTCCTTATAACTCTGTTCCTATGTTCATGCTCAGTTTGTGAGAGGGATAAAGTCAAGCATTGTTCCCTATGTCCAGACTCGGCACAACCATACTGCTGTGACCTGTACTTCATTCTCCCTCGGGTCTCCTATCTCGGGTACCTATCTCCTCGGGTCCCCTATGTTAAGAGCTCACTCCATAAGACTGTCTCTCAGGTCAGATGCCCATGTCTAGGTCTTGAGCACTTAAGGGCCCACAAGCTGTAAATTGATTTCCTACATCCTTCCTTGATTTTGGTAGCGCAGTGGTTCATGAAACTCAGGAAAATGTTTTAATTTGTGCCTGTTGATGTATTTTAAGAGACATAAAGGCTACGGAACAGGTGATGGGATGGGGGATGGGCTTGTGGGGGGACGCGTGGAGCGTTGCTGTCTTCTGGACACCACTCTCCACTGTGCACAGCATCCATGGAGCCAGCCCCTTTAGCTTGACCCTTGACATCTGTTCCTTCTTTGGAGGTTTGGTCTAAAGCTGAATGTGGCCCTCTGGTCACATGATTGGTTTCTGTGGTAGCTCCCCCCTATCCTGAAGTGTCAAGAAGTATCTAGCCAGTCCTATCCTTATTATATTGTTGTACTCACTTCAGTGGCTCAGACAGTTTTAGGGTTGTGTGTAGGAAAGATTAGGCTGAAATCATCCTACACTTGGCTCTTCAGATCTCTCAAGTGTAGATAAAAAGTATTTTGAACATGCATAGCCTCCTTCCTTTTTTAAGTCCTAAATAACCTCTCCGTGGCTTACATTGTGTTAGTTACTAAATGAAACAAAGAGGCTGGGTGGTGGTGGTGCTTTCCTTTATTTAATTCCAACACTCGGGAAGCAGAGGCCGTCTGAGTTTGAGGAGAGCCAGGGCTACACAGAAAAAGAAACCTTGTCTTGGAGGAAAAATAATATAAAAGGGATTTAAGTGTCTTTTTGTTTTTCTCTTATGTGTGCTAGGTAAACAGTGTGCCAGTGAGCCCTGTCCTTAGTTCCTTACCAGTTCTTATAAGGGGCGTAAACATCTGCATAGGTTGGTTTTGCAACAGTCTGGAAATATCCCCCATAGGTATCAAGGGCAATGATGTGTTTCTTTTATCTTTTTTTTTTTGTGACCAAGTCTTACTGTAGCCCAGATCATCAGAGCTATCTTTCTAGCTAATGTCAAACTCCTGGCAGTACTCCTGCCTTCATCTCCTAAGTGCTGGGATTGTAGGCATTTCCTTATCTGAACAATACCATGAAAATGTAAGAAGAAAGTGAAGCATAGACTCACTCAGTATTCCTTGTCTGAAATGCTTAGGTGAGAGGCCTTTCAGATTTTGAAGTATTTTGTGCCCATTGTGAAATGCCAAGTCAACATGAAGATTATATTTCATGGTACAAATTAAACACATTGGCTAAATAAAGGGGATTTTGTACAATTTTTTTTTTAAGCTGGGGAATTCTCTGCTCCATGTTTATGCCCCTTATAAAAACTGGTGAAATTGCAAAGACACAAAGTACAGCTCCCTTGCTGTCACAAGTTTTGAGCCTACAGTGTCAAGGCCCTCTGCTGCTAATATTACCGATCTGGGCTTTCCGCACCAGTGACCCAGCGTCTCGTGTTACATCCCTGAGCTTGGGGTGTTTAGTAGCCAGAGCCAGGGAGTTTCGGCAGCGTTTTGGAACCATTCCAGCTAAGGTCTTGCAGCTTCTCCACAGCGTTTGCTGTCCACAGTTCTCTGCTGTCTCTCTCCTTCTCAGTACTTTCCACAGTTCTTTCTGCGTGTGTGTGTGTGTGTGTGTGTGTGTGTGTGTGTGTGTGTGTGTTTTGTACCACATGCATGATGTTGCCTCTGGATTCAAGAAGAATGCATTAGATCTCTAGCTGCTGGAGTTGCAGGTGGTTTTGAGCTGCCATGTTGGTGTTGAGAATTGAACCAACGATCAGCTGTTGCTTATAGCTGTAGTCTTTTCTGCCCTTTCCCACAGTTCTTTATAATTCTCTATAGTCCTGACGACCCCCTTAGAACTCTTTAGCCTTCTTCTAGATGTTTCTGGGTGCCCCTGGGATGAGGAGCCCCAAGGGATTATCTGTTCTTCATTCAGTTATCGAAGCCTGCTGGATCTATAATGAAAGATTCTAAGCAGGCAAGAAGGCTAATCAAATGAGCCAGCTAATCACATTGGTGGCTATGCTGCAGCACAGGGACAGTGTACGGGAAGGAAGTCTCCCAGACACATGTCCACAGGGTGAGAGGAGCCTTGCTTATATATTTGGGTTGATGTGGTTCAGAGAAGAACTGTCCCCAAGGTGCTGAAGACAACAGTGATGAGGTCCAGGGGTTATCTGGATGGCTTCGGGCTGCAGGCTGGATTGTTACCTGAAACTGTCATGGCATAGTAACCTTTGAGGTTTACTATGGGAATTGGAGTGCATACACCCTCTGAGTCTCCCCTGCGGTTGTCCTGGCCCATTAATTTGGCAGCTATCAGGATTTCCCTGAAAATGATGAAAGCTGCAGTTGGGGCAGTCACCTTCCCCAGGAAACACCAGACACTGCATCACAAATGACACAGCAGTGTTCCTCACAACTCAGCCATATCTGGGTGCCACCGAGATACCAGTAGCAGCTCTGTAGCCAGTCTCTGGCTTCTGTCCCTGCTATCCTCAGGCAAATACAGGCCAGCTCTTGGATAACTGCTGCAATGGCAAGTCTCAGGCAGGCTCTGACAGCTGCCCATCACGTGGCTGATGTCCAGTTCCTGACACTTTCCTTTAATCTAAAGGAATAGATAATCAGAAGTAACTACAATGAAGATCTGTCCGTGAGGTTAGTGTTCTTAGTGTTAAGCACTAAGCAGCCTCAGTGAGGGCTGGGGACTCCTGGTCTAGACTCGTTGCAGCTGTCTTGGGAAATGGAACATTTTGGGGTTTAAATTAGGAAATAGTCTCTTTATATTGTCTAAGCATAAGACGGCATTAGAGGAAAATGGAATATGAACTTAAAGGTGACAAATATGAGAAAATTACAAATTAGAAACAATCACAGGAAACTAGAATCTGGTAAGAAGGGCAGAGTGCTTACTTGTGCAGGCTGTGTGCTGTTTGGGGTTTCCTTTGTTAACAGTGTGCACTTTCTAACTGCATGGTCATTCCATCTTTCTGCTGCTAATTTTATGGCATCTTTATGTTCCTGGTAGCTCCTTTTTGTGCCATTTGTGCCATTCATTTATTATCTGCTTTCTTCAGCTCTAGATTCTGGTTATCTTCATTTGATAACTTCAGGACCAGACATCGGTTAGTAAAGCATCCGTACATACTCACACAGATGCACATATGTTTGCGCATTCTGTTTAGTGCTGATATCTCACATACAAGTCGTTAAGAAGTCACTGATTATGAAGTGGTGATTGGAAGTTTCTAGAGCCCAGGCCTCAGTACAGCTCAGTGTCACTCTGCTTTCTGTGGTAGCTTTAGGGATCTTTGTGGGCACTGGCACCGTGGCAGCTATTATACACATTTCTGTCCACAAATTGGGAAAGTATTTTTTAAAATGTAGACAATCACAAAATTCTAAATTTGAAGTGACTTACAAAAAGTTCACTGCTTAGGAATAATCATCACCAAGAATTCAATCTAAACCACACAGTTAGCCAGCTATTAAATGCTTTTTGGTGTCCACTTAAATCATTCTGTGCGTGTCTATGGTGAAGCCTCTGTCTTGGTCAGTCCTGGTCAGAACTTATTGATCCTAAGATACATTCAACCAATGCTTATTAAATATCTCCTACATTTAGTCATTTAAAATGCTGATTCCTGACTTCTTGGTGGTCAGAAGCGTGGACATTCACGTTACCACCAGCAACCTAGGTTTTGAGAGTCATCGGGATTGTGGCGGGTAGAAAAGGCCGCAGGCCAAGTCTGCTCATCCTCAGACTTTGGAAACTTCCCATTGCTCCCAGCAGTCGGACCGCTGCTATGAGTATACACATACCGTTTGTGGGGCTCAGGGGTTGAAACTTACTATCTGTAGAACGCCTGGTTTCTTTTCCTATGTGCTCTTGGATTGGGAGTGGGACATCTAATGGTCTAATGATGAAACTTCTCTCTCCTGTAGCTTCTGCGCCATGGTATTGGGCTTTCCACATCCTCCGATAGTGAAATGATTACCCAGTTACTTGCATATACCCCTCCTCAGGAACAAGATGATACTCCAGACTGGGTAGCAAGGTAACTATAGAGCTGGCCTGTAGTTGAAGCTCCGTCGATGAGAGCTTTGCTTGTGTGTGTTTATAGCCAGAGCTATTCATTCGGTTCCTTGTGCTTCCAGAATTAAGAACCTGATGAAGCAAGCGCCCACGGCCTATTCCCTGGTCATAATGCACAGGGACGTCATTTACGCCGTGCGCGATCCCTACGGAAACCGTCCGCTGTGCATCGGTCGCCTCATGCCGGTTTCTGATATAAAAGGTAATGAGCCTCAGAGAATTTATCTTCATAATGCTTTTCAGAGTTATTGGCGAGTCTTAAAATCCTCCCCTTTTTCTTGTATGAGCCCCCAAACCCGTGGTCACAGGAAGCTTATGGGTAGGAAGAAATAGGGAAGACAGAAAACACAGCATCTTTTATTTTAAACACTTATGTGAGTGTGTCCATACTTTGTATGTGGCTGTGTGCTCCTGTGCTGCTCAAGGAGGGTGGGAGAGGGTGTCATCCTCTGTCAGGCTCTACCTGTTCTGGTGAAGCGGGGTCTTTACTGAGCTTTGAGACTGCCTAGCCTCGGCTGGGTTTACAGATTTGTGCAGGATGTCGGGGTTATTATATGGGTGCTGGGATCTGAACTCCGATACTTGTGATTTCACAGCAAGCTCTTTAGCCCTAGACATTGGTGTTTTTAAAAATATATGTAACGGGTGGAGGTGTCTACACTGTAGGTGTGATTGCCTATGCGTTTGTTTAGAGGTGACAATTACCAACTTCTGTTGCTTTCTAGATTGCTTTTGGAGACACAATCACACTGAAACTGGAGCTCAGTTTTCAGCTAGAGTAGCTGGCCAGCAAGTTCTGTGGGACTGTCCCAGAGCTGGGGTTACAGGTGATTACTGCCATGCCTACATTTTAGCTAGAAGCTGGGCACCAGCCTCAGGCCCTTTTGTTTGTATAGCAAGTAATTTAGTCACTGAGCTTTACTTTTAAAAATACATTTCTTCGGCCACATCTGACCTTTCAGTGTATTTAATACTATGTCCATACTCATTCCTGAATTGCTAATAATTCAAGTCTTGGGCCTATCCTTATTTCTGCAGCAGTTTTTCTTTATGACTTATCTCCCCTGTTCATTATGGTAGCATAATGAGAAGGAAATTTGGCTTGTTCGTTTTCTTTTCTTAAGTCATGCGGTACCACCTACTTTTAATGTGATAGATGATGCCCACTTGTCTCTATTTGATGTTAGCTGTTCTATGGCAGAAGCTTCTTAAAAAAAAAATTACATCCTGCATTGAGTGTGCAATGGCAGACAGCAGTGTCCTATGGAGATCAGAGGACCTTGCGTCTGGGAGTCCTTTCTCCTTCTGCCACTCGGTTTCCAGGGATGAAGCTTAGGATGTCAGACTTGGCAGAAAGCACTTTTATCCAGTGAGCTGTCTCACTGGCCTAAAAGCCTCTTGAAATAGAATCACTTGAGGGGTCCGGGGATACAGCTGATTAATACAGTACTTGCCTGGGTTGGGCAAGACTCCTCCTGGCTTCTGTCCCCAGGACTCCATACAAAAAAAGCAAAACTAGACAAGGAACCCTGAGCCCATTCAAATTGCTTGTCTTGTGACTTACAGAGAAAAAATCTTCAGAAACTGACGGATGGGTGGTGTCTTCAGAGTCTTGCAGCTTTTTATCTATTGGTGCAAGGTAAGTTGTATCCTAGTCATCATATTATTTCCCTCTACATTTAGGAGAAAAAATTTCCACCAAATTTGATGACACATGCCTGTATTCTTAGCATTTAGAAGTCTGAGACAGGGAGGTTATAATTTTGAGAAAACCCTGAGGTTTGTAAATATATGGACACAGTGTCTCATCTCCCTCCTCCCTCCAAAGGAGGGATGCTGAGCGAGGGGAAAGAACAAGCTTTTCTTTGAGGCATGGTGACAAACACCTAATGCCAAAAACGGGTTTGGGGGGAGGTTAAATCGGGAAAAGTATTTGAATCTTAAACTCAGGAGTTAATTAATGCCAGCTTGGGCAACCCTGCATCCAAAAACAAGAGATAAAGAAATGAGAGGGTGGTATTATAATTTTTCAAGAGAGGTAATAGATATTTTCTTATTTACTTTGTTTCTTTGTGTTTCTGAGAGAGGGAGGATTTCCTCTGTAGCCTTGGCTATCTTGGAAGTCACTCTGTAGACCAGATCCGCCTGCCTCTGCTGGGATTAAAGGCGTGTGCCACCACCACCCATCTGCATTTTTTTTTTTAATTTTTCCATACCCTTTTCTTTGCTGTAAGAAAGCATTTATAAATGTGTTTTATTTATAGTGTGCATAGCAATTGTACTGACTTATATTCCAATACTACCTTCAGATTCTGAAAAAATTCTACAGAGAAATTAAAAGGCTTTTCTCTTTTGCTTTTTGAAAATCATCATATATTCATTGTATAAACTGATAGGCTTCAAAAATATCTTCTTGTTGTGTTTGTGTTTTTTCTAAGATATTGCCATGAAGTCAGGCCTGGAGAAATTGTAGAAATATCCAGACATGGTATCAGAACTCTTGATATAATTCCACGGCCTAATGGAGATCCAGTGGCTTTTTGTATCTTTGAATATGTTTATTTCGCAAGACCAGATAGTATGTTTGAAGGTAAGCATATTTCTTCTCTTTGACTGTTTAAATAATCTCATCTATCTTACTGAAACGTGGCACAAGGGCTTATGTGGTTCTTGGGAGGACTGTGGCTGTATGCTGTATGTTACTGAGCCACAAGTCATAACTGCGCCACTTTTCAACTCTTAGATTTTTTTTTAAGTAGTAAAGATTATCTAATACGTATTAAGGTGAAGTTATGCTAAGTTAAGACAATTTGGTTTCCTTTCCCTCCATTCCAGACCAGATGGTTTATACAGTACGGTACCGGTGTGGTCAGCAGCTAGCAATCGAAGCACCCGTGGAGGCGGACTTGGTTAGCACAGTTCCGGAATCTGCTACACCTGCAGCTCTGGGATATGCAACAAAGGTATCTACGTTTAATTATTGTCTGTGAGTCGGTCATCTGGCAGTGAAATCAGAAATGTGACCCACTAAGGGGCAATTCATTAACTTACTGTAAAAAGGAAAGATTTGAGGTCTAATGTTGATTCCTGTGCGTGAGTTATTAGACATCTCAAGAAAAAGTGGGCTGAGACGTGACGCAGTGGGTACCATGTGAGTACCTAGGACCCACACCGTGGAAGGACAGAACTGACTCAAATGAGCTGTCCTCCTACCTCCACACAAGCTCTGGGGCTTGCAAATGTGTGTACATGCATATGCAGGCACACAATAAGTAGTTTTTAAATCACCCAGAGATTAGAATATTGGCCCTCATCTTAAATGTTTAGCAACACACAGAATAATGGGTTTCACTGTGACATTTCCACACACGTCATTTCCGGTGTTCTTACGCATCCTTCCCGGACCCCCTTCTCTCTTGCTTCGTCACGTGCCTTCCATTTCCCTTTATTTCTACTTTCCCCTTCGGAATGTAATGTCTTTGTCCTGCCTGGGCGTGTGTCCCCCAACCCCAAACACATACACACACCAACGTACATTTTCAGGTTGCCTAGCCTCTTTTTGGTGATGTGCTCTTCCTTTTCTCTGTATTACACATATTAATTCCTTTGTGAGTTTCTTCAGTGCTATTTCCTTGGAATATAGTCTATTTTATCTTCTGACTCTTCTACATGGGGTCACACAGAAGCTTCTGGTCCAGCATCTTACTTGAAAGTCTGTGGACTCCATGTCTTAAAAAGATAAATAAGGGCTGTTTTGTGGTAGCATAGACTTTCAGTCCTAGTACCAGAGAAACTGAGGCAGAAGCATTGCTGTGAGTTGGAGGCTAACCTGGCAACATAGTAAAACACTTCTAAATGAAGTAATGTTCATGTACTATAGACAGTACCTTGAGCATAGATGAGTACCTTTTGTCTCTAAAAGGCATTGTTTTAGGCCAGCATTGCTACTACTGTGCATTTCTTTCCCTCCATCAGTGTGGGCTGCCATATGTGGAAGTGCTGTGTAAAAACCGGTATGTTGGAAGAACCTTCATTCAGCCAAACATGAGGTTAAGACAACTCGGTGTTGCAAAGAAGTTTGGCGTGTTGTCTGACAACTTTAAAGGCAAAAGAATCGTTCTCATAGATGATTCAATTGTGAGAGGCAATACTATCTCACCGATCATAAAACTCCTCAAAGAATCTGGTGCAAAAGAGGTAAGTATTTTAAAGCACCAATAATTAACCATAGAATATGGGCATAAAAACCACTGTATCCAAGTGGATCGACGGTGTAACTTTGCATATTAGATTGCTCTATGATAGTCGGGGAGCAATCTGGAGAGCATGTGCAAACTACACTTACATTATACTAAGTTTAATCTTTAATAGATTGAAAAGCTAAACATAGAAAGAAGGTCACTCCCAGCCCTTGGGAGGCAGTGGCAGAGGATCAAGTGTTCAAGGCTGTGGCTACTGATAATCCTATCTCTAAAAACAAGTAAAAAGCCCAAACAGTTTTTTCAGTATAATATTTTTGAATTTTATATATTGTTCCCTTAGGCATTATGTGTCTTAGTTAGGGTTTACATTGCTGCAGTGAAACACCACGACCAAAAAACAAGTTGGAGATGAAAGTTTTATTAATAAGGCTTACATTTCCATATTATAGTTTATCACTGAAGGAAGTCAGGACTGGAACTCAAGCAGGGCAGGAACCTGGAGGAAGGAGCTGATGGAGAAGCCATGGAAGCCTGCTTTCTTATAGAAGAACCCAGGATTCCCAGCACAGGGGTGGCACTACCCACAATGGGCTGGGCCCTCCCCATCAGTCACAAGAAAATACCTTACACGGCTGCCTCCAGCTGATGACTGATGGTTCTGCTAATCTCACTGTTGAAACTCTATGAAGATGATAGAGTAAAAACAAGGGAATATAATAAATTGAGCATCTGTTGATATAGTAAAATTTTTTTTTTTTTTTCCCTGAGACAGGGTTTCCCTGTGTAGCCCTAGTTGTACTGGAACTCACTCTGTAGACCAGCCTGGTCTACAGTGAGTGCCAGGACAGCCAGGCTTCACGGAGAAAGAAACCCTGTCTCGAAAAACCAAAAAAAAAAAAAAAAAGTGACATACCTGCCTGCGTGACGAAATACAGTGTGGCCATTTAAATCTGTGTGAAGATTTATAATATGAAAGGTTAAAAATGTAGCTACTGGTTTTAACCATGTAAATGGATCAAACAGGGCAAAACCAATAGTAGCAGGAGCCGTGTTATGATCAGTAAGATTTTCATTATAACCTAGCGGATTTTATCTTTTTTATTGTGGTAAAATAAAGATCAGCAAAGTACCATTTAGGCATTCGAACAAAACAAAAGTGGCATTAGAAATGTACAGCCGTTCAACAGGAATGCGTGGTTAGCTTGACTGTGAGTATATGATACGATTTTTTTCCAAGGTACACATTCGAGTCGCTTCACCACCAATAAAATATCCGTGCTTCATGGGAATTAACATTCCTACCAAAGAAGAGCTCATAGCCAATAAACCAGAATTTGAATGTCTTGCAGAATACCTTGGTAGGTATTAACATTTCTGTAAATGTAAACTGTTTGTTTTAAATTTTAAGTGTACTTTTGTGTAAAACAGCAATTAGTTGGAAGATAAATTTGAGTGCTGGGGAGGTGGCTCAGTAGTTATAGTTCTACCCATGCAAGTTTTGGGGAACCAGTCGAATTTGTAAATGTTACATGGGGTAGGTATGTCTGTAATGCCAGAGTTCAGCATGTAGAGACCGTGGACCCAGAGTAAGCTGGCTAGCTAGATTCACAGAGTTTGTGACCCTGAAACCATTAACCTTGGCCTTCAGTAGATGCATGCATACCTGACTGTGCACACATGCACACTGGGGGAAGTCATTCACAGTAGCACCAAATGTTATCTTCTAGAAGTAATTTAAACAAAGATTGCAAATCCTATTTTATGAGGTGGCACATGCCTTTAAATCTAATACAGGAAGCAGGGGCAGGCAGCCAGATCTGAGTTTAAGGCCAGCCTGGTCTACAAAGGTAATTCCAGGATAGCCAGGGCTACAGAGTGAGACCCTGTTTCAACACAACAAAACACAATAATTATTATAATATTGAACACAATTCTAAAGAGTAGAAGGGATGTGGGGTACTTTTTATATTAGAGCTGTAGGTCAAAGCAAGATCAGAAGAAGTATTTTATCATAGAATACCCTACCCGCCCCCACACACACATAGGATTGAATGGAGAGATTTGAATGTTCTAAGCCAGCAGTTTACCACTAAGTTACAGTCCCAGTTTCCCTCTCCTTTAAAAGTTTGAATTGTCCTGGTTGGCTTGAACTTAGCGTCTCCTTGCCTCAGCTTCTGAAGCAGCAGCGACTGTAGACTATGTCATCACATCCAGCTGATTTTTTTTTTTTTTAAGGAAGGCTAAGGGAGAAGTTTTCACCCTGACTTAAACAGTGTGTAGCTGTGTTGTGGTGAGACATGTTTTCCTTTTCTCCTGCAGGAGCAAACAGTGTTGTCTATCTGTCAGTGGAAGGACTGGTTTCATCTGTGCAACAAGAAATAAAATTCAAGAAGCAGAAAGTGAAAAAACATGATATTTCAATTCAAGAAAATGGAAATGGTGTGGAATATTTTGAGAAGACAGGACACTGTACGGCTTGCCTCACTGGGCAGTACCCTGTGGATCTGGAATGGTAGCTGTCTGGACAGATGCTTCTAGACTGAAAGGTCATCAAGAAGCAGTTTACATACTGTTCCTCAGTTGGTACAAAGTGGATACCACATGCTTATGTATGTATACCTTAAACTTTTGAGTTTTTCTGAAGTTACTAAGTTGCTATAATTGAACCATGAAGATTACATGTAATAAAACATCTGGGGAAACTTTTTGTACATGGACTGACTTTTCACCCAAGAGAAGACAGGAGGTTAGTGGCATTTCCCAGACCCATGCTTGAATGGTTTTTAAGAGGCTACATTAGGAATGTTATGTACACAAGACAGGGGGCTTTATAAAGTTTCATGAAGAATTTGAATTCATTGTGTCCCATAGGTATCTAGTCTATACAGTCAAGCCTGTAATTATGGCCTTGATCTTAGATTCTTCCATCCCATACACACATGTGTGGCTCTGGGGATCAGTGTACAATTCTTTAAAAAATGAAAACCTACCTGGGAAGCTGAGGCAGGAGAAACCCGAGTTCAAGGCCAACCTGGGCTTTCCTGTCTCAAGATAAAAAGCCTTTCTGTGCCTCGGACTCCCCATCTGTTTCCTGAGTCTGTCATACATTTAATACATAGTAGGAATATGTGTACCTGTCATAGGATGTTTAGAACTGCCGTTTTACCCCTGCATTTCACGGTGCATGGTCATTAGAAGCTAGTGTTAATTAGTTTTTGCTTTAGTGTTAATTAGTTTTCAGTTCCATTGTGATGGAGGAAAATGTACAGGTTTGTGGACCTTTTCCATTCTCTTTGGGATGCACCAGAATGACTGAAAAATATATCTAGAGCCATTTAGCCTAGCAAATGACTTAGTAGATTGGAAAGAGTTTTAATTTCAAGTAAGCCTTTATCCTTAATTTGATTAAACTTGGCTGTTTGAGTTGAGTGCTTGGTCATTACCAGTGGTGTATACTTGTATACATATATACTTATGATTTAAACAGAGCAAACAGAAACATAATAGTGCTGACTTTGTTAAAGGCCAAGGGACAGCCACTGTTTTGGGAATCACATTGCCTGTACCTAAGTGCGAGCTCATTATCATGTTTTTTCTACCTTATTTTGTTAGGGCTAGTGACATTTCATTTTTAATTTTTTTTAATGATGCAGATTTAGTGGATTGAAGTGATTTACTAACTCCTGTTTGTGTAAGATTTTTCACATGGAATAATAATCATTTCTATATTGTTGCCAAAATTTGCTATATACTTTCCAAACCCACTTAGAAATATAATATTTATTAATAACTGAAATTATTAGTCTACATTTGGTATATAGTACCATGTGTTACCATGTTAACGGCAGGCCAAGATAAAATGTTAGTACTTTAAGGTCATGTGCTGCAGTGCCTGAGGTTATCCTGTGGCAGACACGGGCAGATTGGCATTTCACAACCCTGGGGCCATTTCAGTGGGTGCAGCCTCTTATGTTAAATGCAGCATGGAGGGGTAAGGCCTTTAGGTCAGTTTGTAAATGGCCTTATTAAAATTTGATGTTTTACAAAGAAACTCAGGGAAGGTACTACAACCAAAATCTCTAATTTGACTTTTGTGTTTTCCGTAGTTTTTATTTTGTTTTATTGGAATACTTTTATAAAGGGAAATAACCATGGCTGTTTGTACAACTTTCTTAATTATTTCTTCATTGTTACCTTTTTATTTTACAAGTTTCTGAACATGGATTAAATTAACATTTTTTTTTTACCAGTTTCAAGCTTTTTATCTCTTTAAATGTATATAACTAGAGTAGTATATGCTGAAAATATGAAAAATGTGTTTCAACACAACTAATGTCCCAAACTAATGTAAGCCGATTTTCTCTCTCTCTCTTTTTTTTTTGCGTGTAATTTTTTTTTTTTTTGGCGACAAATATATGTAATAAATGTGTTTATATGTGTGTTTTTTTAAACATAGTAGTAATTAGTACTACATTATTGTGTGCAACATGAAGACAGCGCCACATTCCATACCTGGCACCAGCTGGTGAGATCTTATTGCTCTGATTCAGGCATTTTAATAAATAGCCCATCTCTTATGAGCAGGGCAAACACATGCCAAGTCGGAGGACAGGAGAGTAATTGGAAAATAGAATGTCAGGTCATCACTGTGGAACAATTTCTTTGGAAAGATGGAGGCATGGTTCAAGGTTCAAAGTATTTGGAGGGCTTGAAACAGTCAAACAAAGTAACAGATGGACACATCAGAACGTGTAGACAATGGAGTCTGGACATGGTAAAGGAAACGGGTCGGGAAGCAACACAAGATTTAGACACATTAACATGTAAAAAGTCTGGCAGTGATTTCCCTCCCTGTTTTTTATAGTAAGAGCAGGCTTGCTTTTTGCTTTAGGAAGATTCCCCTGCAAATATGACCATTTATTACCCCAAGCAACTCTGAAAGCATGAACTGGATAGAGTGGTCAGGGCTTTGTGTTCTTGACAGACCTGGTAAGAAAGTGTAGGGACACTCAGCTATAACAAATGGCTTTCAAAAATGGCTGAATTCTCAAAAACTGAATAGGGGAAAAAAAAAACCAAACTAAATAGCTACTGAATTATGAATTAGGGGTTAGAGGAAGATTTATACTTTTTGGAAGTTTAGAGGCATTACTGAAGTGATGTTTAAGTTGCTCATCAAGCCTTGGAGAAGGCTCTCTCTGCTAAAAATCCAGCCATACCGGGGTGGAAACATAAGGCCTTGGTATGTTGAGAAGACTTACCACCATCTTAAGGCTAGTGACCTAGTAAAGGGTGTGCCATTGTGGAAAAGGGGGTGTGGTGGTTTGAGTAGGAAAAGCCCCCATAGATTCCTGTGTTTGAATGCTTGGCCAGCAGTGTGTGGCACTATTAGGAGGTGTGCCTTCCTTTGTTGGAGGAAGTGTCACTATGGGGGTGTGAAGCCTCATAGGCTTAAACCAGTTTTTTTCTGCCTGTGGATGAAGTTGCTCCTCCGTGCTTCTCTTCATGATATATTTTCTTTGTATGAGTTGCCATGGTCATAGTGTCTTCACAGCAATAGAAACCTTTAAAGACAATAGCGGTAGGGAGTAGTGACTTGCCATTAGGGATCAGGCTAGAGAGACAGCTGCCTCAGTGTTTGGACTCAGTTATACCTGACCACACTCACTACCCAGCAGATTCTCCCAGGTCACACTGGTCTATTCCCGCCGCCTTTACCAGCATGAGGAGATGAGAGATAGGCAGCTTTGCAGTAAGAATGTGCTTGCCTGATCAAAATCTCAAACACTCAATTTTACCAAATGAAGACTCAGGAGCTAGATGCTCTGGTGAAAGCCTGCTAGCTCAGAAAGGCAGAAAAAGCACCTACATGACCTTTCTCATCTCAGAAGGAAGAAACCAGTTCTCCACATTATCTTAAAACCCTTCCAACTGAATGTTCTTCCCTTCTGCTTCCTGTTTGTATCTGTCCTCCTGACTTCTCACTCGTTTTTTTTTCCCTATGTTCACTCCCTGTAAATGGTTGCTTGTTCCACATCTTGACCAACGGTTGACTTTAATCTTGTTTACAGAAAACAGAAAGCTCTTGGACTAAAGGTGTGTGCTAGGGCTGAGACATGCTACTAGAGACAGGTTTTTCCAGCACATAGTCTTAGGGGTCACAGTATAAGATAGCATGCAACACTTGCCATCCTAAATTCTAGCTTATGATAAACCAGGTGCATTATAGCTTGGATGGCCAGATAATTATATATAAACTTTATGCTTATGAATCGATTCATAAAATCTGTGGCTAGGACCACAGACTATCATATCAGTAAGTCCACAATAAACTGCACGCTGTTCCATCCTGAGTCTGTTTACTACTTTCCAGTTTCATGAACCTCATCCTAGAACACTTGTTTACCTTGGCCAAAAGGTCAGTGTAAGTGTGGTGCACATCTGTGCTCTCATTTGCTTGAGATGCTGAGGCACTGGTATCTGGAGTTGAAGGTCTGCCCATGCTGTATCAACTGAATCGGCATTGAACAGAAGCCTAACTGAGGTGCGCCCTACTCTCTATAACCCTTCTTCATTTTTAGAAAGCTTTAAAATAGGAACAGATGTTCATGGATTATTACACTCTAGAAAAGTGCCTTTAAGATGAGTGAGACAGCCTAAGGAAGACAACCAGAAGGAAGAAAAGAAGCAATTGGGAAGGAAGGGAAAGCACAAATGACTGAAGGTAGATAAGCACCCTAACAGGCAGACAGATGGGAAGAGAGACCATGGAAAATCACCATGGCTTCTTCATCCAGAACAAAGCTTCACTCTGCTGACATGCCCAGGGTCAGTCCTGGACATGTCTCTGCTTGTGTGAAGCTGTGCACAGCATCTCCTTTTTATTTGTTGACGTTGGCCAATCCAGAATAAAGAGAAGGGGGCGCATCCTACACCACTAAAAACATTTAAATGTCCAGGGAGAATGGGGTGAGGGAGACTTCGTTTTGAAAATCCCCTCTCCACTAGTGGAAAATGAATATACTTTGGCTTTTAGTAAAACTTGTTTGCAATGATTTATTTCCTGTTTTTTAAAAAGAAGAAGCTGGAATCAGACATCGGAAGGCGGAAGGATGAGGTGTTAATGGGCTGAGTTAGAAAGTTAAAGTCCTTAAAGCCACGAAATACTGGAAAGCATTGGAAAAAAGTTCAAAATCTGAACTAAGATGACGATATCTTTTTTAAAGTGTAAACTTGAGGCCCTCACTAGAATAACTTAAAAGCCTATGGGGATAAGGAACTTGGATCCACCTTTAAAATCAGCCCAGGTAGTTCTGATGTAGTTGGCCAGAGGCTGGAACACCAGAGCGTCAAAGTGAATAAGAAGCTAAGAGGAGTGGTTCACTGGGCAGATAAAAGATGGTGATCTTTCTATAGAGAGAAAAGACAAGCGTGGTGGCTGGTTCTTTGTCAACTTGATCCAAGGCAGAGTCATGGAAAGAGGGAACCTTAATTGAGAAATGCTTCAATCGAATTGGGCATTTTTCTTGAATGATTGTGTGGGAGGACCCAGCCCATTGTGGGCAATGACACCCCTGGACAGATGTGCCAGAAAACGGCTTGAGGGCTGGAGAGATGGTCCAGGGGTTAAGCCAACTGGCTGTCCAGAGGGCCCAGGTTTAATTCTCAGTATCCACAGGGTGCCAACATATAACTCCAGTTC